GCTAAGAGTCCTATTTCCATATTCAGCCTGGGGGGGGGGGGCTGTCCATTGTTCTGAAATTTGTGTATGAACCTCTGATCAATATAAAGTAGTAAACACATTTTTCTTTAGCCCACTGTACACAGGTTATCAAACGTCACAAGAAATACCTACTTTGGGGGCACATGTTACTGCTTAACTTAAAGTTAATTGGTAACATATGCCACAAATCTCCACTCATCATTTGTTTTCCAGCTTGTCAACTGTTTGACATTTACAAGTGGGCCAAAGAAACTTATTGTCCTTTTGAAAGATTTGCTGCTATTGGATTATATAAAAACAAATGAAAGCCATTTACATCCACATTCCAGCTCAAGAAATTCCATAATATGCGTCAGAAGCATAAATCTATTTTATAATAAATATATTTAGTATCTATGATGTGACAAGAACATCCACAGTTCTTAAGTAAAAGTATAGCTCTAATAGATGTTCTTTTGGAGACTATGGCGTTTTCCAGACTGCAGCTGCCTTCTGGGTTTTCGTCAGTATTGTGACAGTTCCTGTTATTGTGCTATCAGTGCAATCAATACACACTTAATTTTTTTCTTCGTTTTGTCCCTGTCAGTGTTCCATCTGTTCATGTTCACATTATGGATTGGTTTTCCATTTTTTTGCACATGCACTGAAGCGTTGCAGTGCTTCAGCAGCCTCAAGGGACCAAGAAATCCCCTTATAAGTATATTTTCTGCCCACCACACCACACCTGAGAGTCATACCTGGTATACATGTCTCACCCCTTTTTTGGTTGCCTCTTTCCCACGTTTGAGTGTTCTCCCCCCAATTTTGAATTCCTTTCCCTGACATGCATCAGTACATGATTCACAACAGCTTGTTTCCTTCAGTTACATGTTTTCAGGGTAGCTGTGTGAACTGCAAAATGTATTTGAAAATGGCACCCAGGGGCATGCTAGAATGTACTCTTGAGTGTGAATGAAGAAATAGTAAGGAAGGCAATGACTGGAGTGAACTTTTGTTTCAGTGCAGGTGCCCCAACAGTGATATGTTGAAATGCTGGCATGCAAATTAAAAAAAACTGTAATCACTGTCCAAACTTGCCCTTTCTGGGTGGGTTTGAGCAGCTATCCATGAGACAGAAAAACTGTTCATATCTTGCAAATTCATTCCACAATAAAAAAAAAAGTACAGGAAAAACTAGTTTAGGAAAGAATGGGGGGGGGATGAGGAAAGACTGGGACAGCACAGAACAAAGGGTGATTCTGCACTGGCTTTCCCCTCTGCTGTTTTAGCAAACCCACCTTGGAACAGAAATTCCCTTCTGCATTGCATGCCGCTGTCGCTTCCTTTGGTAATCCGATTTTATGGTACCTTCTGCATAGATTTATGGCTGTTTTACGGCTGTTCAGTGGTGACTTTGCAGTCAGTACAGTGTTGGTCTGGGGTATTGAATGTCGTTTTGAGCTGCACCTTTTTCCTCCCAGTTGAGAAAATGTGGCGCAAATGCCAGATGCAGAACCAGCCAAAGTTGTCTGGACACACACAAAAAATGGTAATGTAGGGGAATGAAAATGGAACATTAGGGCAATCTGGAAAAAGGCTTTTGATAGCCACTGTGTGAAATAGTGTCCTGGACTAGATGGACCATTTACCTGACTCGACAGGGCACCTCTTGTATTTAGGGAGATGCTGGGAGATGTTGTGTTAGTGTTTTAAAGCAATTGCTGCCCTGTCCTTCCACTAAGTTTGCTCTTCAAGATGGCTTACGAAAATCCACAGAACACAAAATGCAACCAAAAGAAGTAAGGAACAGCAGGAAAAAAATAGCAAAGGTTACAATGTCAGACTAGGACCCCCATTGTATCATGGAAGTTTCCTGGGTGGAATTTCAGGCCAGTCACAGGGACAGGGCTGTGGTTGCATGGTAAGGCATCTGCTTGGCATGCAGAAGGTCCCAGGTTCAGTCCCTGGCATCTCCAGTTAAAAGGACCAGACAGTAGGTGATGCAAAAGACCTCAGCCTGAGACCCTGGAGAGCCACTGCCAGTCTGAGAAGGCAATACTGACCTTGATGGAATTATGTTCTGATTCAGGATAAGGCAGCTTCATGTGTTCATATACTCACAACCTAGTCTACCTCACAGGGCTGTTGTGAGGATAAAATGGAGGAGAAGGATGTAAGCCCCAGCGAGGAGAAAGTGGGGTATAAATGAAATAAATAAACAAACAAATAAATAGCAGAAGCTGCAGTGTTAATGCAATGGAATAAACAGACCCTGGAGATGAGTTATCTTCCCATCAATCAGTGCTCTTTATTGGAACTACAAGCAAAACTAAAGTTTATCTGCAAGGCTGCAGGAAAAGCATGTGCTAGCCAGCTCCCGGTAAAGCTCAAACAGCCTTTCAGAGGTGACCTGTCTCCAGATAGTCCATGTGGGTTGTCCACTTCCTGCGTATAACTGCGCAGAGAAGACTTGTGTTAGCCATCAGGTCAACGTCTTCATGGACGGTCCTCAGTGCCATTGTCATTTTTATACTTTTTACTTTCGATCTCCTTGCATAAGATGTGCTGTTATTTGCTCTTCTGATTATTGAGTTCTAAGCCCAAGCATAATTACTGACAGATTAATGCAAGATTGGTTCCTTATCATTCTACATACTAGGTTACAAGATATGGAAGTTAATATCGTCCTTGGCATAAGAATGTGAAGTTGGCATTAATGGGGGGGGGTTAACGTTCTAAGTGTGGGTGCATCCTAAATACCCCCCCCCAAAAAAAAAAACTTAGGCCATGATCAGCCCTCATGCCTATTTTTCTGGATCTTATGTTTGACACTGGATCTGGACTAAATTTCCCATGAACTGAAGGCACTTCTGTCAGCAAAACAGAACTTTCTAGTCTTTTCCGCTGTATCCTACTGATCTCCCTATTCTGGGGGAAGGGCTCCTCAAGAACTGCATGAGGACCGGATCGGGGAGGGGGGGGTCGGCAGTAGGAAGGGGGAACGGGTGGAAGTTAGTCTGCATTCAGACTATCCCATTCTGTCAACTAACTAGATTTTATTTCTGCGCCTGCAACTTCTATCCAACTAGTAACACTGTTGTAAATTCAGATTTCATGGTGACCATCTTAGCCTGGACTCTGGACCACAGGACTGGCCTCTATATAACTACACTTATGTTTATAACAGGGGAACAGAAGCGATCTAAAGCTAGAAACATTGCCAGTCTAACCTACACAGAAAAATTGAATCACGTGCTCCGCCCTTACAGCCTAATTTAGGAAAATACCTGCAAACTCATTTATTTGAGTCACAACATCCAGTTTATCCGCCTTGGAGTTGAATTGGAAATCTATTTTACTTTTCAGGATTTGCAAGAAGAAAATTAGTTTATTTTTTAACATGCTTAATAAAATATAACATCCATATATTTCTTAGGTAGAGCACAAGTTTTTTTTACCTGAATTAGAGACATAATCAAAGAAGGGGAACCACTTTTCTAGAAAATTATTGAGCTTAGAGGGCGATTCTGCCATAGTGAAACTACTGTTAAAAGCTAAATTGTAAAGATGTGGTGGCTCAAGTGGTTAAGACGCTGAACTGCAGGCTGTGGAAGGTCAGTAGTTCAGCGGTTCAAGACCCGGGTGCCGCAAGACAGGGTGAGCTCCTGTCTCTAGTTCCAGCTCCTGCCAACCTAGCAGTTTGAAAGCAAGAAATTGCAAGTCGATAAATAGGTACCACTTCGGTGGGAAGGTAACAGTGCGCCTTGGTGTTTAGTCACGCCGGCCACATGACCACGGAAACGTCTTCGGACAGCGCTGGCTCTTCGGCTTTGAAACGGAGATGAGCACCGCAACCCTAGAGTCGGATTCGACTGGCTTTCGAGCAAGGGAACCTTTACCTTTACCTATGATCCTATATCAAAGTTATTTCTAATCGGAATTGTTGATTGAAGATTGTACGGTTATAAGTTGGTTTTGTATGGTTGTAGTTTTTGAAAATTGTAGTTGTATGGTTGTAGTTGTTGAAAATTAATAAAAATTAAGTTTTTTAAAAAGAAAAAAATGAGGTTTTTTTTTAGGATTTTTCAGCTTTTAAAGCGATTCTTTTGGCAAACGTAGCTCCTGCCTCGAACTACTCCCGGGCTTTCATACTAACTCTTTCGGCATCTTCAGCCGCTTTATCTAAGAACTTGGAGAGTATCCAGTATGTGGCTACAAAGGAAAGCAACCCACTTACAACCCCACTTACAACCCCACTTACACGACGATCCTTTATGCCCCAAACAAAGCTCAGAATAGGTCCCCCTTCAGAGGCACATCTCTTCACCAGTAAATTTATGCAAATGTCTTTTTCGGATGGTGATTGAATCACCGCCCTCAGCTCTTCAACAGGCTTATTCACCTGCCTGGCCAAACGAGCTAGGGAGCCGTCATCCAACCCAAACTGCTTGTAGATGTCGGTCAAGGTCTTCAGCAAGAGAGCACCATCAAAACATAGCTTAAGGGCTTCAAAGGGCACAGCGTTGATGAAAGCAGACACTAGAGCTATTTTCCATAACAGTTTCTTCAATGCATCTTTCTTCTTCTGTATGACCTCAGGGGAGATGTGGGGAAGGCTGAGCAGGAAGGCCAGTCTCTTCAGGCTGGGCAGATCTTTCTCCAGAGTCTCCAGGAGGAGAGGGAAGTCATACTTGTCAAGATCCCAACAGGAAGTCAGGAAGATCTGAGGGTTGGAGTGTTTCTTCAAGTGCTTCTCCAGATTCTTTTTGCAGTCATCCCTGATTATTTTTAAGACCTGCTCTTCACTGTATTTTTCAGGATCAGCCTTCTTTGCATTGCTCAAATCTTCATCCACTTTCGACCGGACGAAATAAAACTTCTTGCCCATGGCCTGGATCTCTCGAGCTAGGCGAACGTCGCAGGTTCGGAACCGCTTTGAGCATACAATGATGAAGAAGTCATAGCGGGAGAATTTCACCTGTTTAAGGTATGTTTCTGGAGGAAATCCTTGGGTTCCTATTCCTGGAAGGTCCCAGAAGATCACATTGGGGAAGTTAGGATGCTCATAAGCAACTGGCCTCTGTGTCGTCTCTGTTGGTCGTACGGGAGCAGCACCCACATCACTGGGCCTCAAGCCCCGGAAAGCATTGATGACGGTAGATTTCCCAGCTCCTCCATCTCCAGTGGCAGCAATGGTAAGTTTACTAGTTTCCCAAGCTTTTAAGTCTTCTGCTGCTTCAGAAATTATTTCATCCTTGAAAAGCTCTTTGAAAAGCTCAATTATCTGGTTTATTACATTGTAATATTTTTGTGGGTTTAAGCTCCAGGAGTTGTCCATCTCATCTACAAGAGACTCCATCTTTCTCAAACATGACATTTTTCCTATAAAAGGGAGGAAATAAACAATCCTTTAGGATTGCTTACTATCTGTACCTTGCTCTGGGACTTTTTGTTTGTTTGTGCTCAAGCAGCGTCTTTACTCCACTTTGTTAAACCACTTAGCTGACCCGCCCCCCAGCAGTCACTGAAGACATATTTAATTCCTTAGTTACTGGAGTATTTTAGTTCTGGGCTACATAACCTGTGAGAACACAGAGCAGAGACAGCAGAGCAGTAAAGATTGCAGCCACCCAGAAAAGTTGGGCA